GGAATGCACAGGTCTAGCAGAGCCCAGGGGAGAGGAAGCGGAAGAAGGTTTATTCGACACCAACAAATGCCACATGTTCGAACTGGACAGTAGGGTGAGAGGACATGGGTCTGGGTAGATTATTTTTAAGGTAAAAGAGATTTGGCTACATTTTGGGACTTTGATTTCCTCATAAAAAAAATGAGAGTTTGGAAGAAGTGACGTGGAGCTGGGGAGAGGTGAGCAGGGCTGAAGAGTAAGTAGATTCTGATTTTTAGAGGACCTTTCAGTTCCAAAATTCTCAGTCGGCATTCGTGGTAGATTTGGTCTGCTCACAAGGTTTCAGATGAAGGAAATAGGTACTCTAAATCCAGGCTCTTTTTTCACAGTAAGTGTATGCTTAGAGCTCTCTGCAAATTACAGGTACTTTCCTGTTGCGCTTAGAGTAACAACGTGATCTTAATACCCACCAAATAAACATTTACAAAGTTTTTCATAAAGCTATTTAGTGACCTGAACCCGAAGAATCCTGTCAAAATCTTTCCAACAAACCCCTTTTTAAAATAACCTCTTTTCCTTCTGATTTTCTTTACAGGTATATAATTTACAGCTGATTAAATAAAATGCTTCTTTGATTTCTAGAGCATTTTAGAGTTTAAGAACTAGGGCTGGGGGACTTCCCTGGTGGTGCAGTGGTTAAGAATCCGCCTGCCAATGCAGGGGACACGGGTTCAATCCCTGATCCAGGAAGATCCCACATGCCGCAGAGCAACTAAGCCCGTGTGCCGCAACTACTGAGCCCGTGTGCCTAGAGCCCGTGTTCCGCAGCAAGAGAAGTCACCGCAAAGAGAAGCTCGCGCACCACAACGAAAGTAGCCCCTGCTCGCCACAACTAGAGAAAGCCGTGAGCAGCAACAAAGACCCAACGCAGCCAAAAATAAATACTAAAAAAAAAAAAAAAAAAAGAACTAGGGCTGGGAATACAATCCCCTGCACTTTTATGGGAAATTCAGTTTCCATTTACAAAGTTTGACTTTCAGGACATTTGTCAGAACTTTTCAAAGTGGCTGTCAGTCCTGGCACCTACTGTAACAACCTAGATGTACTTTGTAATTTATTCATCAGATGTCAGTGAAGACAGTGGCTTTTCCAAGGACGTGCAGAACTTCACTTAGTACATTTTAACCTGACTTCATAAATACATTTTGTGAAAAATGAACTATAGAAATAGTCTTGTAAAAACCTTCCCTCCATTTCACAGATTGGGTCACTGAAGGAAGAGAAGGTACAGAAAAAGTCCACAGGTTCCTGCATTACCGCTGATCTCACAGAAGTGATGGGAACTATGGCCGCCACTATGAAAGGAGTGTAGTAGAACTTTCTAGGCTTTGTTGAAAAGATATGAGAAAAGCTCTTATGCTTTTTTTTTTTTTCTTTTCAAACCACAAAGGGAGAAAAGAAAGACCCTATTCCCCTAAACAGACAAAGAAGGTAAGAACATGAAGGGGGCTTAGAAATCTCTGATTTCACAGAGAGGAAACTGAGGTCCAGCAAGATGCGGTGATTTGCTCAGTGGCAGAAAGA